GAATTCAAACTGCATATTACTGGGAAGAATCCTGGTCCACGCTATGGAAAAGCGGTAGCTATTCACACCAAGGTTTTCCATGAGATCAATATCCTCCTGTTTCTCGTAATAAATGCAATCAAAGTATTAGGCTTTCGTCGGTCTCATTTTTGACATAATATTAAAAGACAGTGTGTGCATTTTAGCACTGACAATTACTAAAATAACAAAAATTGCAAGTTTCATTTGTCCGGTCCCATGATTCTCGTCTACAAATGGGAAGAAAATAATCACAAGGAAGTGACTTCGTTTGAGCTATATTATCTTTTATTCTTAGGGATTTTCGATCCAAGACTAAAATCAAAATGTAGCTTGAGGAAAAAAAATCTTCCAAGATCTAAATATTATAAATGATAATATTGAAGCAAACTTAGTCCTTCAATAAATCCTATTTTTTTCCTTATTATATAGGCAATGTAACACACCCAAAGTATGGGTTTTCACTCATGTGCATCAAACTCAACTTGCCAGAAGAAAATACGTGTGTGGCTGGTAGGCGTTAGATGTAACAGGAAATTTAATTGGTCCACATAAAATATACTGAATTGATTTTGAGAATGAGAAAAACAAAAAAATAAATAAATAAGAAGAAGATTTTTCATTGGTCTACATCATCACTTTCCCCATCTAGAGGGGTCACCTGGTGTGCCCATTGAGATTCCTGAAGCAAAAGGCATGAAAAATGATGCCTAATTAACTTGATCAAGCCAGATTTACATATGTAGGGTTACTGAGGTCACAGTATTAGAAATTCCAAAAGCAATAGTAACATAGTAAATTACCTAACAAAAAAATAAAATATAATAAAATAAAAACTGAAAGTAGAGCAAATTCAACGACATAAACCTCTAGTACTGGTAAATCTTTAAAAAACAAATGGAGCAAAGGACAATAAAGTTGGGGTCAACCATTAGGACCCTCGAAACGATTATGATCAATGTGTATAGAGCAGGAAATTGAGACATGAAACACAAATGGAAGACCGGGGCCATTTCAGGAATAAGATGGAAAACATGTAAAAGTGCATAAATATAGTAGGCAACTTGGATTACAATCCAATCAAATAATTGAAAAATGATAAAGCAGGCCTCATTGTACCAAAAAGGAAAACTTAAAGAAAATTGCCTTAAATGGGATTATGAAAATTGTATATGATAATAAAATAATTATTGTAATCCACCAGCTTAAGGACAACACACCTATTGACTTGCTGCTAATATTTCAACTATATTATATGTTAATAGATATATTCGTGAAGCAAGAACCATCCGTCTATCGAACAGAGCAGTAAATATGGCAACTTCAAATTATTATTATTAGTATTATTAACATAAGTGGCTATCAAGCATCAAGAATTCAAGATAATTACTAGATAAAGATGGTAATGATCCACAGCTTTGTCTCCATTGCTCCCGTCCAAGATATTGCCTACCGAAAAAACAGAATTATTCATACAATAACAGAGAAGGTTAATATTGGTCTTCGACGCCAAGAGTTGAAAAATAGGACATAAAGTGCTTCGTGTATATACCACTCTTGTGAGTAAAAACATCCCAGTTACTGAGGCCTTTACCATCTGTATATATTGCTCCCTCAAACTGAAGAAACAAAAGAGAGATAAAAATATCACATGAACAAGCAGGAACATGTTGATTATATAATTACAATATTATAGCAAAATAGATATGTTTAAATACTTGATAGGACGAAGATGAAGTTCCAAAAAGGAAATTATCAGGAAATGGTGAGGGACGTGGAGTTTCATTCAACAGCATTGAGTTGGTATGACTCGGTAATAGTACTATTAAACCAACATATAAGCAGATTTCAAGAGTATGAAGTTTGTGAACAAAGGAAAGAAGCTCCATAATACTCATAGAAGAGAAAAATAACTAATTATGAGAGAGATGACTTAAACGGTTGTTAAATTGATTTTCTATTTTATAGTAAAATACAAAGCGAATAATATAAGCGCAGATTATCAAAATGCATAAATGAACAAACCGAAATGAAAAAAGGAAAAAAGAAATAAATTTCTAAAAAAAGACAAATGAAAAGGACTGATGTGATGCTATGATTTCTGTCATTATTATTATAATTAGCCTCTCCACTCACTCATATCTTCATTATTTTCCACCAGGAAAATTCTATAAGCAGCACATAAATGCAAAACTAATAATGTGACGACAAAGTCCATTGAAAAATGATATTACCATTTGTAGAAGTCACATTTGGCCATATCCTCAATTATTAGCATTACATTTGTAGAAATAACATTTGGACAAATATATATTAGTAGAAAAGTTTTGGAAAAGACAGCAAAGGCATATAGTTATTTTCAGACGCTCCATGACAAGGACATCGCTGGGTTTGCAACTATGTGAGAGAAAAATTGGTGAATTGGCAATTTTAAATAGGACTCTTAACCTATAATTCAAAGTAATACAATTGCATGAAAAATCAAATAAAATGCAAATTTACTTTGATAGGAATATGATTAGTGCACGATAGAGTTCTTGCATTGTCCTGATTGTTGTTGTTGTTGTTGTTGTTGTTGTTGACATTAATGGGATGATATGATGTAAATGGCACATCGAACACAATTTATCTTGACAAGGAGTCCTGATGACCAAGAGCTGAGTTGATATTTACAGCACTGCAATAATAACATCATTGAAATACATAAATGATTGCAAAGAAGATAAGATGTTGTTTTTCTTCCCAATGGTCACCATTCGTTCTAATGATCCTGAGTGGGGTGGTTAAAATTGCATCAGGTCCGGAATCATCTCGACTAATTACGTTAAACCATTCTTTGGCAGCATAGATTACTTTAACTAGAGTTTATTAACTGCAGTTTAGTAAAGAATTGTGACTAGACACAGGTGGATTTTGGCCAGAAAAAAATGCTTTCCAGCCGTATTTATTTAAAAAAGAAAATACCATTTTTACCTTACTTTCGGTTCCTTGGGCACAACACATCTCTAGAATCCAAAAAACATGCTTGGTTAAGAAAATAAGCAAAGAGTAAGACTGTCATATTTCAGTGAGGATTCTATATGGCTAACATTATCTTCTTCCATTTTCCTCTTTTTATTTTATTTTTTCACAAAAAGTGGGTAAAATATATTATTCTGAATATTGAAAACGATTCTCATACGAACTAATGGACAATTCTTCATAATTAGCTAAAATTTAGAAAGCTTATAGCAAAAGCAGCATCACTTGAAGCAACTCATGGCCTATAAGGTTTGTTTCGGGTGTGTGATTATTGAATGGTTAACATGGTTAGCTTCAATCACACGAATTCGCAGTAAGTTCGATCCTACCCATATGGCCCACACGGGGTTTATCATTGTCGAATTACACCCATTTACACACACACACACACCCAAGTAGAAATGTTGATCCAACGGTGATAAACCCGGGCACTGCTCATACGTGTATAAAGGGATTTCTACATTGCAGCAAGCAACAACTCCGGTAAAAACTCTTATGACCCAAATCCAATCATTAATTCTTCCAATTATAGCCTAAAGAGCTAATCTTACCAGTGAATAGGGATGAATGGTACAGCAAAATTGAGACAACCAACAGTAAACTGGGCCAAAAGGGAAAAGGACGTGAAATCAAGAAAGGTACAAAAACATACCCGGGCTTTCTTGGTGCCCACTGCACAGACCAATGATAATGGCAGCACCTACGGACAAACCTCCACAGATCTTTCAGGAATTGATGTGTCTGATTCTTTTTGGAAAAGGGGGTGCACAATATCAGCAAAGAACGTTCACTGTGACAAAATATTCCTAATTATCAACGGCGAAAAAGTTATGGTAAAGAAAAAAGAATGGCTAAAATGAGTTCACCCAATTCTCCAACACATACCTTCTTCCTTCCTTCGATTTTAGCTTTAAACAATTATGGCATGATGGGTATCTAAGAATGAAATAATCATTCCTTGCTCATTCCTTATCACATGATTGGTATCCCCTATATATTAATTCAGAACGCGCTGAGCCACGTACGTGGCGTGGCTGCTTCTGTTGCTTCGTAATCCTATGTGGCAAAATTACATGCTTCGTTATTAGGGTTGGATAAAATTTTAATTTAATTCCAAACCAAAAATAATTAGGTTCGGATTACCATAAATATGTTGTAAATATGTTGATTATTTATGGTCATGTTACATGTATTAATTGCATTTTAACATCATTCCTTGTTATAACTATTGAATTGTATGTATATTTTAAAAGTTAACAACGTTTATATAGATTATATTTAATTTAAAACTATGTTATTTTATTTTTATATATTTTCAAAAATATTTTTTTTTTTGTATTATTAAAAAATATATTATTTTATTTTTATATATTGTCAAAAATATATTATTTTTTAAAAATAAGCTTTTATTTATTTTTAAAATAAAAAATGATATTGTCATTTCATTCAGGTGTCATTCCTTCCGCATACCAAACGCATCAATGACACAACTTATTCATTTCATTCCTATAATCATTTCCTTCTTCAATTCATTCTATTCCTACGATATTTCGTTCCATTATACCAATCAGGGTCTTATTATGATATTGATCCAGCTCGTCTAGCGAAATATTATCTATCATTACATTATATTATATTATATATATATAAAAAGAATAACCTTTTTACAAATTTAGAAATAATTTCCCGCCAAAATTATTAATTACATACTAAAAATAGCATAATTAAAAAAGTTTTAACTAAATGCCCCTAATTATCTCAATACAACACCTTTTTAATTTTTGAAAAGAATCCCTATTTATATTGATTTTTTCAATAATTTTTGGTGTATAAAAAAAAATCGAGATGGGCTATTTGATTTCCAAAAAAATCAATCGCAATAATTTGGTATTTATTAGTAAATATTTAGTGCGAATAATTTATACTCATAAATAATTTTTTATTTAAGTTAATGTGAAATCAATAATTGATCTAATTAATGAAATATATAAGATTTATAATTATATTTATTATTCACATATATTTTTAAATAGACGAGAAAAATTTACAACTTATCTATAAATTCGATTTAAAAAAATTAAGATTGTGTTTTTTATTCCAAACAATCAGATTGCCGAAAATTTTTCCTTATAACTTGAATTCAAAATTTGAAATTCAATATCTCTTCTCATTTTAGTTGCCATAAAATTGGTTTTAATTCAAACTCTCTTCCTAATATAAAGGATTCATGCTTCTATCCATATCCTTAAATGAAGGATTCTGTGTCACTCTAAAATTAACAAACCTCTTGAAAATTACAAAATCATAATTATTTTCCATTTTCTTGGTTTCAATCTACACGAAATTCATATTGTTTAAAAATTTCAAATCAATTGAAATTCATCTCTTTAATTTTTTTTTTCCATAAGTTTAAAAAATTTACAGTAATTAAGTCAAATTATAAATGCATTGTTTCAAATCTGGGAGCTGAAATATTGGGAGCAGGGCAACATCAAGAATTAAGAGTTCAAAAACCAAGCCAAAGATAATGTTGAAATACCCAGAAACATAGTGAAGTGAGAATCTTAACATCATCATTAAATATACCTCAAAGTCCACAAAAGATTTATCAGATTCCAAATACTAAAAAGTCAATAACCATCCATATAATTGTGAACCACATCAAGACCACCACAAACACAGCATAAAACCCTTTTAACAAAAAAATATTTGCGACCATTCACCAGAACCTCAAAAAAATATTTGAGACCATTCACCAAAATCTCAAATAGCCAGATAAAAGGTTAATGAAGTTAACTAAAAGGACATAAATTCATTTTCCCATGTTCGATCTACAACCTTGACCACAACAGCAACATTGATTTGAGAATCCATTTGCGAGTAATAGCAGACCTCAAGTGCTGAAGAGAATCCTAGCCCTAAAGAAATCTGCACACGATGTGAAAAATAGAGAGCGAGAGATTACAGTTAGTACTAAAAAGTGAGGTGAAAATAGAGAGCGAGAGATTACAGCTAGGACTAAGGAGTTCACTCACCTCACGGGCCCATCTGTTTTGGAATTTTAGGAAAACAAAAGAAAAGCTTGTTAACTAAAGAGTTGAGAATTAAAGTCTAACATTAAATTGTAAAATCTATTATTTTTTAAATGATGGCAAAAGGCAGAAACTATAAATAAAAGAGTTTGGGGCATGTCACAAACCTCATAACACTACTTATAACGTAGTCTCAAAGTGGGATGAAATGTAGGAGGATCAAGTGTCGAGAATCACCACAAACTCGTTAAACCAGCTTTCGCCAACGCTTTTTTCCAATAGGGGCGGTCCACCTGCCATCCATCGACATCCAGTTTGCAACCGACTCTACCAACGACAGTTTTAATAACTTCCCCCGATGTTGTATGTAAATCTCGCGAACACGCAGTATGATGGAACAACATAAGAGTGCAATCGAACTTGAAGAAAGTCTTAAACTAACTTAATTTAATTGCTTTTCCATGGGGAACAAGATTAAGATCTTATCGTGGAGCAATTTTGTACCCAACAAATATTTAACAGGATTAGAGGAGATGTAAAGCCCATGTTTATTATGTTGGCAACACCAATGCTCGTATCTCTGATATGAGATTTCCACATGAGCATTTACCTGGAGAAAAATGTCTGTCCAATAATCCATTAAAAAGGGAATTGTAATACCACCATCAATCAACTGGATTTCAAAAGATATCAATTCAGCAGAAGAGGGTCTAGCAGCAGAGGGTTTAGCATTAGAGGGTCTA